TAAAAGTTTGCAATCTTTTGATGTTTGTCCTTGTTGTTCGCCATATTGATTCTGAGCCATATAGAAGTACTGATTTTACATTTGAGCTGAAGATCCTTATTTTGGTCTGTAGCTTGATCTCTCCTGAATTCCATATGTTCCTCAAAATAATAAAAGAACCTCTTGCCTTCTGTATTCTGGTCTTAATATCTTCATCAGTACCTCCCACTTTATTGACAATACTACCTAAATAGGTGAAGGTATCAACTTCCTCCAGTGTCGTTCCTCTCAGGACAATTGGGCTGCTGTTATTTGCTGCATTCACTTTCATGATCTTGGTCTTCCCCTCGTGGAACTTCAGTCCCATCTGCTGTGAAATCTTCCATAGGGCCCAGGGAACCTCACGGATTTGAAGTTGATGATGTGACAGAAGAGCTAGGTCATCTGCAAAATCAAGGTCTAACTGTTTAAACAGGCAGCTGTTTGTCGGCTCAGCGCGGCAGCCATGTAAATTTAAATGAAGCGGCGATTATTTAAATCGCCGCTTCATTTTCCTATGTCTGGTAGCCTAATCTACATGCCTCTGCCGACAGAGGCATGTAGTCTAGACCTACCCTTAGAGACCAACCAAAATATATAGAATCATGAGCGCCCGTGGGCAAAACCCACTTCCTCTGAAGAAGTGGGTGGCATCCACAAAAAGCTCATGATTCTGTATATTTTGATTAGTCTCACAGGTGCCACAGGACTATTCATTTTTAAAGTTACAGACTAACTAAGATCACGAACAGCTCAGGAACAACTGCAGTATTCTTTCAGAGGGTGCAATGCTTGTTCCTCACTGTGCCAATTTAGATCAGATATCTGGGGTGAAATACCATTCCTCCCTCTCTCCCCCACACAGACACAGTCAATAGAATCTCTGCCACTGACTTCAGTGGGGCCAGGAATTCACACCCCTAGTGCAGAAAGGGGGCACACAACCCTTTTAGGAAGTCTAGAGCTGCTAGAGCTACTGTTGTGTAACTTACTTCTACTCTGCCCCATCCACTCCAAGACCAAAATTCTCCCCCATCCCAGGAATCCTTTGTACAGAGACACAAGAGCACCCTTGTTTGAAGTCTTTGTCCCACACTGGTAAGTTCTCTGGGGCCCACTGCCCTATTTATGTAGAATGCCTAGCACAACAGGACCCAGATCTTGGGTTGTCCTTCGGCATTACCATAATAAATGTGATTAATAATGATCTGAGTAAAGGTAGGCTCAGAAATACTGTGCAGTTCACATCCTGGAACCTCAAGGCTTATCTAGACTACTGGGAACAGTCAAAACAGGATCTGCAAATTCCTCAGGTTTACGCAGCTTTTTGACAAAGGAGGGGTTCGCCGAAAAAGCCACGTCTAAGCTCTGCTTTCGAAAGTGCGATCGGAAGCATATTTTCTTTCAGCTGTTCCCGGTGGTCTAGATAAGCCTTCAGTCTAAGTGGCTGGTTTTGTAACAAGCTCTAACTGTCTTCCACTCCAGGAGTCTGGATTTTGGCTGTTTCTGCCACTGTGACAATGGCAGTACAGGAAAAAAGCCCTCTTGCTCCATGTCTCCCAGGACCCCAAGGACCTCCTGGGAACAACGGTGTTCCTGGTCATAATGGGCACAACGGGCTCAATGGGGAGAAAGGAGACATGGGAGACAGAGGGGAACCAGGTAAGGCACATCTGAATGAATCATTTCACCCAGTACTAAGGTCTGATAGCACCACTTCCCCAGTTCTCTCATGCAGATGTCAAGAAATCGCATATTTATAACAACCAGAATCATTTTATGGCAGCAGGTACTTGGTGACAGAATTGTGATCCTACCACAAGAGATTTGCGCTTTCTGAAGGTAGACCGATGGTATTGTGTGGAGGGTGAAGGAGTCAGGGAAGGGGGCTGAGAGGTTGGAGGAGGGGTCTCTGGGCAGAAGATGGGGGGCTAAGGAGAGGGATGGGGGATGCAGGAATCAGGGCAGGGAGTAGAGGGCTCAGGGCAGGAGGCTGGGAGGCCTGAGGGAGCTCACCTGGGTCACCTGTGGCGGTGGCAAGGGTGGGACTGGACTGGCTGTGGGGGCTGCCTGGATGGCGGAGGCTGCACTGTGCCAGTAGTGGTGGCTGCCAGGCTTGGCTGGGGCTCTGCTGGCTGCCCAGGGCTGTGCTGGGCTGCCAGCAGCTGCCTGTGCTGCCCATGGAGATGGGAGCTGTGCTGCCCACCTGCTCCCTCTGCCTGGCACTGGGGCTAAGGGTGATGGGGGCAGTGTCTTGGGCTCCTGCTGTGGCAGGCAAGAGGGACAGTGGTGTGGCTGCCCCTCTGTGGTCACTCTGCAGTATAACTGTTCCTCCTAACCACCTCCTCCATTTTCATGCTATGGAAAACAATCCCATTCCAGGCACATCCATTTTCCTGGCACAGCCACACCCCCAACCTGCTTTAAGTTAGGAGACGAGGAAGCTGCTTGCCAAATTTGGTGGTCCTAGCTCTTACCGTTTAGGAGGTGTTCTTGAACAAAGGGACTCACAGATGGACATTTCTAAAATACAGGCAGTCCCTGGGTTACGTACAAGATAGGGACTATAGGTTTGTTCTTAAGTTGAATTTGTATGTAAGTCGGAACTGGCTCCAGA